TAAGTGTACCTATCTCCGTGCTCTGCCCTATTACCGTGGATTTTGAAAAACTGATGATTACTTGCTCAAAATAAGAAATGTTTCATATAAAATAATTTTTCAATTTTAATAATCTAAAATGACGTTAATGTAGATGCAATTCAAACAGAAATATTTGTGTATATTTTGAGTAAATAATTATTTTCCACGGTATTCGGTACAACGCGCTCATTAACAGATTGTGTACGTATTTCCGCGGTGAGCGTACGTAAACATAACCCTATACATCCGCGGTAATACGTACACGGTAATAGGTACACAACCACGGTAATACCAGCATACCGTTTTTATTCGTTTTAAAAATATTCTACTGCAGTTTTAGCTTCATAAAATTTTTTTTAATATTCCGTAAGAGATTATGTAAGATTTAAAAAAAAAAGTATTCCAAAAAATTGTAGTATACCATTTTTTATGGTGCATTTAAGTTGTAATTTTCAATACGTACCACTGAGATAGGTACACTTACCCCTACATCTATTTACAAAAGCCAAAAAGTCAGGAGTTTAAATTTAAAATCGGGAGTCGGGAGAAATAATAGGATTTCGGGAGTCTCCCGCTGAAATCGGGAGAGGTGGTAACCCTACTTATTACCTTTGTATTATACCTCGTGAAACCCTTTTATGATGCACATTCTTATCCACATAGAAGCGCGTGTATTGTGGTCGTAGCCATTTTTAATAAAAAATGTAGCGCAGCTTAATGTACTGTAGTGTCGTACATAGCTTATTTAATTTAACTCCTCAAGCACTTCTTTGTGACTTTCATATTGGTAATTGTCAAATAAAACTTAACCATTTTGTAGTGGTTTTCATATTATTAGATCCACAAAAATGTCACTTATAGCTTCGTATCTGATGAATAGGTTTTTCTGAAACCTATGTTAATATTTAGGTAACGGAAAAGGTGTCATTATTCATGAGAAAAAAAAAATTTTTTCTTTTAAAGATTATTTTTGAAAAATAAGTCCTGATGTAAAATGAGTGAAAAATATTTAAAAATTTGATCTCTACTTTTATATACCAAACGACTGGAAATCATTAGAAAAGAAAAAATAACTAGTCTCTGTGAGACCTTGTTTCCAAAATTCTCAGGTGAGATCTTAGCTGAGATCTCAGCTGATGTTTGAAGATAGGGGTTAGTTGTCCATAAGGGGACCAGAATGTCTTAAGATGCCCCTGGTCATGTTGGTAGCATTGCGAGTTCTGCAGTAAACTTCTCGTAAGGAGTTGTAAAGTACACATCCGCCCAGTTAGGAACCATAGAGAAATTGTCGAAATTAGCTCTACGCGAAATTATGTACACTATTAACACAAAAAACTATGAAACTCGCTCCCGAATAATGTAAGTGCTCTAAACGTATTCGTATTAAAGAGATGTTTAATGCAATTTTTCTAAGCGGTCCTGGCTTTTGGCGCTGCCAGTTGAGTGTTAAAAGCTCTGCCTCGTACAGCTTAAGTTGTACTTAAATGGCGAATTGCCTTTAGATTCTTAAATAAATAAACAGAAAAATAAAACGTCTGATAATGTATTTAAAATTTTCAATTTAAAAGCGTTAAGCAACATAGGACTAATTTTAGTAGTAAAAAAACAAAAAACCCTTAAAAGGATGAATTGTTATTTTTCAGTCAACTTCCACACCGACAAGCTCAGGCAGTACAGGTACCATTACAGAAGAACACATTAGAGCATCTCTGTTATCAGCAATAGGTGACAAATTACGCCGCAAGCTTAGAGAGCAACATTCTCAATTACTAGCAGAGCTTGAAACATTAAGACGAACACAACAAGAACTGTCAAACGGTTCTTTGCGTTTATCTGAAATATTTAACAAGTATCATAAGGAAAAGTCGGAACTAAAAAGAAACGTTGAAATTTTACAGGAAAAAGAAATAAAATTAGAAAAAGAAGTGCTAAAACTTGCAAATAATCGGTCAATCGATGTTGACGAAGCTGTAACACCTGTTGCTCCTTTGTACAAACAGTGAGTAAGAGTTGATTTATCGAAATTAAGATAATAATTCTTTATTTAAACATGTTAAACTGTTACGTTTCGCAATTTACAGAATGTTAAATGCTTTTGTGGAAGAAGCTGCTACAGAGGATGCGATTTACTATCTTGCAGAAGGATTACGAGGAGCTATTATTGATTTAGAGGCTTTTTTGAAACAAGTAAGGCAGTTATCTAGAAGACAGTTTATGTTAAGAGCTCTAATGTCTTTGTGCCAGCAGAGAGCCAGATGTGTACATTAACAACTGTTCTATTTAAATACTTACTCTTGTGTAAATTTTTTTTTTTAAGGATAATTCTTCTAATTATTGTACTTGTATAGATTTTTTTTTTGAAAGATTATTCTAATTGGTATGTACATGTTTAAAGTAATGAATTATTCTATAAACTACCAACTGCATTCTTCAGATGGAAACATCATTTCAACACCCATTAAATTGAAAAAATACAAAAAAATTTATGCCACTAATGTTGGAGGATAAATTGACAAACCTAATGTACATTCAATCAAACAGTATAGAGTATACAACATATAAGAAAGAATTGTATAAAAGTTGGTCTTTATTTCATTCATAACTTTAATATTACACTAAAAGATAACGTTAAGAACTTGTCTCCTTGGAACAACAGCTTCAAGACTTCAGAGTGTACGTATACATAAAATTAATTATAACTTATTTTGAACATGGGTAGAGAGATTTTAAAAAAAATGAAATAAAACAAAAACTTATATTAAAATTTGCCTCCTGTCTGCTGTTGATAAACTTCTATTGTGTCACCTTCTTCCATTTCTAAAGTCGAGGGTGTATCCAGTTCATGAATGGGCTGCCCATCAAATCGAAATCGCACAGCAGCTATGGCTAATCCCTATATTTGATAGTAACAAATTACAAAAACAAGGCATTTATAACTAAGAAAATTATTTCTTCAAATGAATAAAGTTGAAATATATTTAGACATACTGCTCGGTCACAATATGCATTCATCAATTTCCTCAATGGAGTATGCTTTTTAATTTTAAATTGAACCACGCCGCTATCTTGGCCCAGAACCTTTAAATTTATATGCTCCGATTCTTTGGCATCCTGTATGACAGGTAATAAAAATTTGATTCAATCAATAAAAAAGACAATTAAAGTAAACAGATTAAGGTTACAGTTCACTACCTTCTTTTCATCCGACATCTTTCGCTTATTTTTTATATCTTTTATTGACAAAAAATATCCTTGACAAACAAGTCTATCTACTTGTAAACGTTTTCTTTATTATCAAATGGATATTAACAGTGATAACTAAAATGATAAAAAATAATTAATTTAAGCACTTGATACAATCTTTAGGTGACAAACAAAGCATGCCCGTTCAAACTGTTCACTAATCGGCGTTGTTCTCATAAAAAAATATGCCTGCATTAATACCTCTAGACTCAGAAAATTTCCATGTATTCAGCCAAGGACCTTTGCTCGCAAATGCTCGATAAGGTATAAGCAAAGAACACGGACACGGTGTAAGATAACAGGTGGTCCCATGTAAGCATAATTTTTGTGAAATCTTTAGGCTGCTTCCTTCAACATCCAGCAGATGGCGAATGAGAGTCGAATACTAAATATAGTTATTCTACTAGCGTTGGCGAACACTACCGTGTATAGTTATACTAATAGTGTTGGCAAACTCGTATAATACTAGCAAAAGTAATAGTGTGTCGTTAGCTTGGAAAAAATTTATTTACATAACAAGCCACTTATATAACTTCGTTTCTATGATGTATACAGACTTTCGTCATTTTTTGGTGCACTAAATAGTGTTAAACCACTTTTACAGTTTTTAACATTTTTTGCTCATTTTAATTAATTTATAATCAGATCATTAAATTTAAGTTTTAACATAATTTTATATTTACATTCATTATTTTCATTTCTCCCTTTTAATATTTACTGGCTCGAGGTGCTCGTCTGTTCAGTCCTAGTTAGTTATTACAAAACCTGGTGTGAGCAAGCGGAAATGGCACTATGGCCCGCTCTGACCAAAAAACATAGGACACAACGGGGAACAAGCCTAGACACAACAGGGTTATTCTCACGCCAGAGTAGACTAGTAAAAATATAGCTTTTAAATAATCTAGTGTTTAAAGTGTCTAAACTATGGATTACTAGGTAAATCAAGATCGTAGAAAACGTTGGTAAAATTTTCAGCTTCCTAAGTGCACAGGGTCTATGCATTTTTATAATAAACTGCTAATATCTAGCAAGAGGTAATGCCAATCAAAAAATGACCAATACCATTCGAAAGAGGAGATAAAAATATGTAGAAAACGATTATTTACTCGATTTTGACCAGCTTAAAATCTCGAGAAACACGGCCGTGAAATACTTAATGCAAAGGTACGTTTATATATAGATATATTAGCCTATTAGTCAACGACCAGCAGCAGTGCCACCATCACGCGCTTAGAGAATATATACATGGAGGAAGCATTGTATGCTCCGACCGCNAAAAGCATTGCTTATAGGTATTGACAATACTTTACTAACGATCCTTATTAATTCACTTGAATCAAGATATTTAAATATCTCACACCATTTTTTGTCAATGGGGATACCCATTACATTTACTTTCTCACGAATCGAATTAACTGCACCAATTTCATCGAATATTTTGTCTTCATTAATTTTGACTGCTAACATCTGGGCTAAGTTTAAAACTTTTTCATAATCAATGTGTGTCTTAAGATTGAAAATTGAAAAATATTCAAAATAACTATTATCAAAGTCATAAAATTCATTTAGATAATTTATTATTTCATTTCCAAAAGTTTAATTACTACTAGATAAATCTTTCTAAGTCCTATCAACGATTTTTAACGCTTTTTTTGGTATCATAGAAGCTTCATCCCAAATAAATACTTCTACATTACGTAATTTTTGTTTATCTGGCTAAAACTGGAAGAATGCACTTTCTATAGTGCTTAAGTCTGTAGGAAGTCTGAAAGTTCTGTAAGTGGTCATCCTTTTTGGAAGCAGAATAGAAGCAATACCTGTCCAAGCCATTGTAAGAATTTTTTTTTCAATTGATATGAAATAATAAATTAATGTTTTGTATAGAAAAGTTTTTCCAGATCCACCAGG